AATGTAAAGCGAAAGCGAAAGATCATACGATACATACGAGAAGAACGAATTGAGGAAAAATTATAGAAACGAATTGGGCGAGGTACGAGTATGGGATAAACCGAGGAGATCCGGATGAAAGAAATTGAGCAACTTTATCGGCTATCACACTGTGTATCTCAGCTGTGAAATAAAAATCATCAATGAAGAGATACGAATTTGAATCTTTACATTGAGAAACTACAACAAAATTTGAGACATCCCAACATGGATCGATTGTATTCAATAAATTTCCACCAATGATACTTAAAATCAATGAATAGCCATCGAATAGTCGGATAGAGACATCAATGTGTTTACTTTGAAGTGCTGAGATAAAATTCGAGAGTAAACTATTCTGTTGGATTGTAACTGTATGCAGAATAGTTGCAAGATTCTGAGCACGAACTACTGGAACGAATTCCAATGGTTCTTCGTTGAAGATAAGAATATACTTAGCACCTATGACAATCAGTTTCGTAACTTGATCTCGAAGACTACCAGCAACTGTAGCTGTAGTTTCTTCGAGGATTTACCTCGTACAATTAAGGGTGTGGGTGTGGGTGTGGGTGTGGCTGAGTAGGTGTGGGTGCCTAGAAGATGCATACCCACACCCACACACACCCACCCACACCAGCCCACCCAAATTGAGCAAAATTCAGTTCCGGCTCGGTTCTCAATTTCATTCTTTTTGAAACTGCAGGGCTCTATATTGAAGCAACAGTGTCAAAGTTTTCTAAAGGGGTTTTTTTATCAAATCCAGTTGTTTTTTGGAGTTTTTGATCTAGTCAATCAAAAAACCCCGAATTACTCGAAAAATGACTCAAAAAATCCGACCGAAATATAGAATTGTAATAATAATAAAATAAAATAACACATCTGTGATTTAAGAAAAGAGTACTAAATTAATTTAAATAAAATAGTAAGAATCAAGCGAATATAGATTAGTCCGTTAGTTGGCTTTGTTTAAAAATTTCATTCGAGCTCTTCCGTTGGTGCAATAATGTTTTTTTTTTATCACTCCTTTGGATCGACATAGCAGTTAGAATGGTTTGTCACCAATGATACCTGCTCGTTCCATACGTCGACAATTAGGCCAATAGTCAGCAATAGCATAATGTTGAGTTGATCGATTATCCCAAAATGCAATATCGTTTACTTTCCAATGCCATCGAACAGTATATTCAGGCTTATTTACCAAACCAAATAGATAACTTAACAACATTTTACTTTCATTATCATTTAGACCAAGAATACGTGTTGTATAGAGAATATTGACGAACAGACATTTTCGTTTTGATATTGGATGAGTTCGAATAACTGGATGTATAACTGAAGGCGGAAATTCACGTTTTGCTTTTTCTAATTGATCAGTGTCGGTAACATTTGTATCGTTGTAGTATTTTGTATAGGAATGTTCCGCTGATAATGTACTTAAAAATTGTTGCATTGGTAATGACAAAGTATCATAGGCTGAGTACATACTTGACCAAAGTGTATCACCTCCAATTGGCGGAATCTCACGTGCATATAAAACACAACCAAGCGGTGGAGTTTCGGTAAATGTTGTGTCTGTATGCCAAACATCATTATTAGGTTTTAGATTAGGACCATGCTCAAAAATAGTTATTTCAGGCATGTCCTTAACATGTGGCGAAAATGGAAAAGCAAGACTAAGATTGCCAAACAGTCGTGCAAAATCACGTTGTTGTGATGATGTTAAACGTTGATCACGAAAAAATAGAACTTGATGTTTGACTAATGCTTGCTCGATTTGATCAGCAACTTTTTTATCCAATGACTGAGATAAATCAACATTATGTACAATGGCACCAATTGTTGGCAACAATATTTCAATATCTAAATTCTTGGTTTCAATTTGTTGTTGGCAGTTCATTGTGGTAAAAACGTAAATAAGTAGGTGATAATAATCGTTAGTAAACGGATGTCTGAAAAAGCACTGAAAAATTCTCATGAACTTGACAGATAGTTCGAACTATGCTCAATAATGTTTGCAATATCAATAAAAATATTTCTATCGTCTTTATTTTACATGAGTGTTTCTATGGAATTTCTGCTATGCATACAAAAAAGTTTTGCGATTTTGCTGAAACTTTCAACGTTTATAGAGCTTCTAATTCTAAACATTTTGATAAAAAACTTTTGTTTTGAAGATAAGATCGAAATAATAGAAGTTCTGAAAAGTCAAACTTCTGGAAAATGGATTTTTCAGAAATGTATTGCCCAGTTCACTTCACGAAAATAAGATCTAAAATTGATTCCAATATCATATTCGGATTCCACGTGGTGAGATGCCTCTCACTAATATGATTCAGCTGGTCATTTGTGGAATGCCCAATGAAATTACTCGAAAGATCCTTGAAACGTTCTAAGATATCCTACTGGACTTAGATTTTCACGCTGGATTCGAATCCAATGCGAGAGTTTAGTTCTGGATTAGACTCGAATGACTTCTACGGGTCATATGTATAGTAGCTCATATGGGTTAGCCAGGTGTGTAACCGTAGACGTTTTTTGTTTCTCGTGCATTTTTACTAATATTTTTATGTCAGAAGATGTGTTTAGAAGAGATCTTTGTTTGGTTAAAATAATCATCTTGGGACCGCGTACTTTCGATAGATAAAGGTCCAAAATATCGCTGTTTTGGACAAGTCCTTTTTCCATATTTTGGACAGTATGTGGTCTGTGCCGTTTCTGTAGAAAATGTTAGCTTCGATCAAATAGGATGATTTTGTAGCCTAGAAGGGTCTCTATCTTTTGAAATGTGGCCCAGCTCGTACGGTCGAAGTGCTGGAGAGATCATGTTAGAATATTGGGCACACCGTGTTTAGGGGCTCAAATGGGTCTAAATTAGTGTTTCAGCTCGTATTGCCGATAGACAAAATCAAATGGTCTAATATTCTGGATTTCAGTATGATTCGACTAGACCTTTCATTTGAAATATTTAAAATGAAAATCAAACATTTTTCCCCTGCGACCTATATCGACAGTGGAATGATTCTATAATAGACTCTCTCTTAGTCTGTTTTGGTCGTTTCACACATAGACCGCCTCTTCAGAGTGAATTTCTGAGAGCATCAGACATCGACGATGGAGTGATGTTTTAGAGTCGGTTGATTTTTTAATACGCTGTAGAGAGTAGCGAGTTATGTAATTCCAAAAACTTTCAGTTCTTATTGTATTTGAATAGATGCACAATCTTTTCCAAAACCACGGCTGTTCTGTTTCGACGGCACAAAAGGGATGTGGGTGTGGGTATGGATGAAGAGAAGAACCACACCCACACCCACACCCACACTCATTTTTTAAAAGTCAAGCGAAGTACTTTCTGCTCGAAAACCGTCAAATCCTAGTCAAAAAATTGGCAAGTTGCTATCAAGCATAGTACTGGAAGTAAAAGTGCTTCTTAAGACATCGAATTTCAAGTTGAAAATCGCATCATTAGAAAGAGCACACTGAATTGCATAGCCACTGGAAAAATCCAGCTGATGCATCTGGAAAAGCTATAACTTCGAAAGACTCAAAAAATCATTATTTGTGCCAATATGACTCAATTGGAGCGGTATTTGAAATTTATTGATAGAAAAAAATTCGAATGTGTAAGATATTCTTATAAATTCTAATAGAGAATGAAATTCTCTATCAAATGAGCCTATTTGCGACTAGCTTAGTTCGGATTCTGACGAACTTTCAGGTCAAAAACTAGTTTTTACAGCTTCCGGAAAGTACTTCTGATCTTTCTTATTACCCGAATACTTTTGAAAAATAATATGATATTTGTAATCAGCACACATAGCGCCATCGAACTAGAAAGACTTCTGATGGAGCGACGAAAAAAATTTTTATCGAAACTTCAGAGAACCCCAGAGGCCAAAACATTGAATTATGATAAAATGCAAAATAAACTTGTGAAAAATAATCAGGGTTCAATGCTGATTATTGGGCTAATACAATTGGGCTTATCTTGTTTTGGACGATCAGTCCATAATTTGACACACCTTCTTTCAGGATACACTCAGTTTAATGGGTTCTCCAATATATGGAACAAAAGATGGATCTAGAGACGTCAATACCACGGTCTATGTATACGAGCCTTAGATAGTTTCTCTGCAAATAGTCTCAAAAAGACGACTGATCATCAAAAAGCCCCTTTTAACTTCTGGAATGGAAAGTTAGTTACCGTAGGCGATAGAGCATGACGAGCTCTCTTTAAAGTGCAAACTTCAGAGCACTGCATTGTTGGGGCATCAAACGTTCTTGATCGACATTATATTCACCTTTGTAGAAAAATAAAGAAATTCTTACAAAGATGCCTGTTTTGGGAGCAGATCGTGCGTTTCATTGATTTAATGAAAAATTCTGAATTTTTCTGTCTGATAGCAGCATTAATGGATAAACACGCCTGGAAAGCCCAGAAGTTGAAATTTCTTGTCGTCAAAATAGATAAACCGTGGTTTTGGAAAATATTGTACATTCATTCAAAAAGATGAACAGAAAATGAGTCTAGCAAACTATCGAAAAAACCATCCGTATTTTGAGGAGTACGTCTCAGAAATTAATCCCATTGAGCTAAGAATTTCAGGAATTACATAACTCGCTACTCTCTACAGCGTATTAAAAAATCCACCGATTCTAAAACATCACTCCATCGTTGATGTCCTATAGCAACTGAGTTCCTTAGAAACTCAATCTTAACGTTTTTCCGTTTCCATCACATGTGAGTAGTTTTAAAAGAGATCATAAAAATGGCCACACGAAATCAATAATAAAAGAAAGTTCTTTCTTACATTGTTTTGATGTGTGCGCAGTGGGAATATACGAATAAAAAAATACAAACGACACCTACATCATTTTGTATACATTATACCTGGACGAATAAAAAACATATCAACAGTAGTTGAGTTATCAAAGCTGAGAAACGTTTAGTATTTAAAATGTGATACGTATCTTTTCAACCACTTTAGCAGATAACAATAGATAATGTAAGTAAATTTGCAAGGCTATGAAAGGAGTTGCATGTTATTCATTCGTGATTAGAGATGTGCGAAATCAAAAACTAAGTTTACCAGGACCGAACCAGAACTGGGACCACGAAACAGAAATTGCAAGAATCGGAACTCAAGTTTACAGTAACTATTCTATGGTTTTAGCAAATTATCCTATAAATCATATGAATCAGAACATATTCAAGAGCAGGTGGGTGTGGGTGTGGGTGATGAGAAGATATCCACACCCCCACACGCACACGCACACTCACACCCGACATCCACACCCACACAACACTCACACCCACACCCACACCCACACCCACACCCACCCTCACACCCACGCTCCACCCTTACACGAATTCTATTACCTTCACTAACTCCAATACTCTCTGTCAGATTATCCCAACTACTTATAGTACTCTTACTACTTTCACTATGCACTGTAAAAAAA